GATGTCTTGAAACTATAACGTTCTTGACTTAGACCCGACCCGTTGATGTTTTGAATCCCGATTTCATTTGTCTTGTTTAGATATTCATACCATGTTTCTCCTTATTTCTTATTGAGTTTAAGTGTTGGAGTATCTTGGTTGTGTTTGGAACATGTTGATTGCTAGTTGGTTCAAACTGTTGTTGTCCAGAATTTGGCCTCTTCGCTCGAGCGACGCTTCTTGCGCTCGAGCAAGCTTTGTGAGCTCCTAGTACTTTTGCAAGCCTGCAAAGATACTGATGAGGCAGTATTCTTCACTCGAGCGATGGTCTTTTGTCTGTAAAACTTATGGAAGTGTGTATTCTGTGCTCGAGCGAAGCTTCTTGCGCTCAAGCGGAACAACTTATTGTGTCTGATCGCTCGAGCGATAACTTTTGAGCTCAAGCGAGCTGTGCGTATAGTAGTTTGTAAAATGGTCATTTTACATTACTTTTTCATATCTCTCTCTCTCTCTCAAACATTTCAAAACTCTAAGTTGAGACACACTCTCTCTCTCAAACTCACTCTCTCTCTATATATACACCAAAATCTATCCATTTCTCCACCCTACTCCCTTTGTTAAAAAAGTAGAGCTCACCTAGAACTTTATTTTCATCCGAATAAAGTTGGGTTTCAACATCATTCGAGTTTCATCCGTGCTTTTCTCGTCTTCTAACTTTGAGGTAGGGATTCTCTACACTCTTTTATAATTTTTAACTTAGCTATTTGTTTTTCATAAAAATATCTTGTAATTTTGAAGGATTTTGAACAAACCTAGCCTTTGATGAAATAATTTGGTAAGAAGTTCTTTTGTTATTCTAGAAGGACATTTTGTTTCCAATTTTACCCCTTTAATTTATCTATTGAATTTTTTTTATCTGTTTGACTTTTCATTGACTATTTGTTCAAATTTACTGTCTATCTATTCAAATTATTTGTCTATCTGTTCAAAATTTTAAATATTTTTTTATCTATTAAATTTTTTTAACCTATATGTTAAATTTTTTTATTTTTTGAATTTTTATAGCCTATTTTTTCTATTTGTTCAAATTCACATCATTTTTAAACTTTTCTCTCTTTTATCTGTTTCTCTCTTCACTTTTTTTTTTCTTTCTATCTAATAAATTATTACATCTCTCTATTTATTGAAATATAGAGCCAAACCAACATCTATCTATTGCAATCTAACCAAACCCTATCTGTTCTATTTTTTTTTTCTTACCATTCAAATATTTCTCCTCTCTCATCCGTATCTATTTAACACAAAAACAAAAATAAAAATAAAAATTATTTGTTACAACAACATCACTACTACTAACAAAAATAAAAACATCAACAAAAAATTAAAAAAGTGTCATTATCATACAATTAATTATCATCATCATCGACATCTTCACACAGAGAGAGAGAGAGATCGGCGCTACGGTGGTGTCAAATCGGCTAGGGTTTCTCCGATCTGACACCACATAAAAAAGAGTTGAGAGAGAGCGAAAGAGTTGAGAGAGATCTCCTCCGTCGTCATCAACAACAGCTTGTTCAAATCAAACCCCCTAGTTGCGATCTACTTACCTCCCCTCTATGAATTGGCAACATGAGGTATGAGAGTCGCCATAGCGCGTATTCTTACGACCTCACGCGCCACCGTCTCGGTGTACTTCTGTAACAACCCAAAAGTTTAAGTTGTCCCTTAAATTTTGTAGTAGTATTATGGTTGTATGTGATAATATATTATTAAATAAATAATAATAAATACATAATCTAATTTGGCTTTGGATTATCAAATATGGGATTAATTAGGAATTATTATTTGGGGCCAAATTAATAGAAATATGGAATTATAATATTAGTTGGGCCAAATTAAAGTTAAAGATAGTAAATAAATAAATATAAAAGTAAGAGAAAATAAATAAATAAATAATAATAATAATGAGTGTGGTAGTAAAATAATTAATTAATTTTCTGTTGGTATACAATAGAGTGTAATTTAATTAGGGATTAATTTATTTATATAGTTATATTAGAAAACTAGGCCAAAGTATAATTATCTTAAATATTTATTAAAGATAAGTATAAATCCATATAATTTATGATCAAATCTATGGGAGGATTCGCACTGGCCACGCGTTGGCCTGATAATGTTCTTACCTCTCTATAAATAGGGAGGACCTGATCAACCGTAGGAAAAGAAAAGGAAAAAAAGAAAGGGAAAGAAAGGAAAACTTAAGGAAAGAAAGGGAAAGAAAATACTAGATGTGAAGAAGGTCTTTGGTAGTGGAAAGAAAGACTGGGAAATTAATTTTAAGGTGAGTTATATTATACCTTGAGTTACCATAATATATTTTACGTCTGTTTTGACTTACCATAATTTATTTTATACAAGTGGTATTTTATTAATTATATTAATACAAGTTATGTTTCATAAATATTTCAATTACGTGGATTTATTTATGAACTCTATTTGTTAAAATGAAACCCATGGATATGTTTGTTTAACTTTTAAAGATTATTTGACTATGACCTTATAAACAATTATGTTTTGTAAGTACCACCACGGGAGTCCCATGCCTTGGAGGACTTAAATAACCATTAGCCTCTGTTTGGTCACTTTGTGGCATTCTATTGTCATGGATCTATTGATCTCTTTTCTGTGCGGAGATAAGTGCTACACTATTATGGGAGCCACCTCTATAATCCGTATGAGCCACCTATTGAATCCGTACCTTTGTTATGACTGTCACTCATGTAACCTCTGTTCTGTTCTGTTCAGTACCTTGGTTATAGTTATTTATTTACATAATCTCAGCTTTGCTACTTAAATGATTATTTGTTCAGACTAAATTATCTTAAATATTTTAGTTACATAACTATCCATGGTTATTTTGTATCCCTTATACTCTTGGCATAATATTTCTCAGTCTACCATGTGCTTATAGCTGTTTACTAATTTTCAAAAAACAATGCAATTCAAAAATAGTTTTTGGAAAGTCTTAAACGCGGGGCTATGGAATAGACACACACAGCACTTTTATGATATTTTTATATATAAATATCGGCCTTTTTTGCCAATAAATTTTGTAATAAAAATAGAAGCTCCGATAATTATTTTGGTGCCCTCACTTAAATATTATTTCCGCTCGCGTTTATTTATTTGTTCAAGAATTGGCCAGAGATAACTTCAGTTACTGGCCATCACGATACTTAACCCTTGGATATGGGGAGTGAGTCGTGACAACTTCATTTCCCTTAATAATCAACATAGATCAAAGTGCTTGATTTCGGCGACCAGATCGTAGCCACCTCACGGCGAACCTTAGCGAGGACCTTCGAGTGAGTGTCGAGGAACGCCACCACCCACAACAACGACAAGATCTTAATTAGGTGGTCGTTGAAAGAAATAGTGAGGAAGAGAGAGAGAGAGAGAGAAAGGCAGTGGTGGAGCAGTGGTGAGGGATAGAAGAAGAGTGGCAGTGAGGAAAAGGATAAGAGCGATGGTGCGGGAAGGGAGAGGAGCGGCGATGAAAGAAAGAACAACTCTGGAAGGAGAGAGAGAGAGTGAGTGAGTAAGTCAGAGACAGAGACACAGACAGAGAGTAGGGGTGGGTGTGGGTCGGTTGCCGCCACGGAACCTCCAATCCGCCATCCGTCCGCCAAATTGGTAGATTGGAGAAAATCAATCCACATCCATCTACCAATCCGGCGAATATGGATTGAGCGGATTGGCGGTTTGGCGGATGGATGCGATTTGGTTTGGCGGTTTAAGATTTTATAAATTTTCAACATAATTCAACTTGTGCACTTCCTCAAAAAAAAAAAAAAAGTATTATAGTCAATGACTTAAAAAATTATTACAATCACTCTATGTCTCATCCAAAAAAAGAAAATTTGAAACTTTAGAATATCACAATCATTACATGGCTCACCCACATATTACAATCACAGCATGATTCATCTACATAAAGTATTACAATCAGTGGTTCTTAAAATATAATAACAATTCAAACCACCAAAATCATGAACAAGACAGTAGTAGAGATTGTATGTCTCTGTATTATTACATCTATAAATATTTTTGAAAACAAAAATCAACCAGCATATATCATATTTTCTATTTATTATTTTTAGAGTTAAATTTAAAAATCAAAAAATATAAATAAATAATACGTTTATTTTTTTCAATTCAAAAAATATATTCAAGTTGAAATTTTTTTTTCAATAAAATATTTAAACTCTTTTTTCAATTGAAAACACAAACAAAATATTTAAACAAATTGAAAACATAAAATCTTATAAATTATTAGGGGTGCTCGCGGTTTGGCGGTTCGGTTGCGGCCAAAAGAATCTCAAATCCGCCATCCGTCCGCCAAATTAGCAGATTGAAGAAAATCGATCTGCAACCGTCCGCTCGTCATCACACATCCGTCCAAAATGCGGCGGATCGATTCGGTTCAGTTTGGTCGGTTTTGACGGATTGATATATCCGCTGCTCACCCCTAACAGAGAGAGGCATTGGTTTTGAAAGGACTAGGGTTTTGATCTAGAAACAACCTTTATATATTCATGGGTACTTTGGTCATTACGCATATACATATCCTTATGGACAAAGTAATTTAGTGCATGGATTTTTGGACAATAGAAATTCAAAATTGGATTTATCACTCGAGCACCCATGAAGTTAACCCTGAATTAAACAAACAATTACAAAAATATTTACACATATAATTCCACTTTAACTAATTTAGTTTTAATATTTAAAAATAAATAATTTCTCACTTACAAAACAGTTATAATTATTTATTTTTATCTTTTAATATTTAAAAATAAATAATTTCTCACTTACAAAACAGTTATAATTATTTATTTTTATCATTTTTAAATAATTAAAATAAAAAAATTAATAAAAAATAAAAGATAAAAAAGAGAGAAAGAAGGTGCGTGAACTTGACTTAGGTGGTAAGCCCCGTGAGAATGTTAAATAGTAACGGCAAATGCGCGGCACTGCAGTTACTGCTCCCACACCTCCTCCGACTCTTTCTAACTCTCTCTTTCTCTCTCTCCAAACTTTTCTCTCTCTCTCTCGAATCTGATGTGCTTATACTCCTTTTTCCAATGTTTCCGTGAGATAGATGTTGGAAAGAAATGGATGTGAAGAAGAGCAAAGAGATCACAACAACGACACAACAACAATTCTAAGATCTCTCTCAGGTTTCAATTCTTCTATTCCTCCTCCTCTCTTTTGTATTTCTATCTACGTTTTCCATGCACTGCCAATAATTTATATTTGATTTTCGTGAATTTTGATGGATTGATTGATTGCTTGATTCCTACACAAAGAAGCTTGTTTTCTGGCTTGCAATGGGCAAGAAAGGAAGCGGCTGGTTTTCGAGCGTCAGGAGAGTTTTCAAACCTTCCTCCAAGGAACTGCCTGAGAAGAAGGTCAGTTTATTCATTTTATACACATTTGTGTTTCAATCATATGATCCACATTACAATGGTTTTCAACTAGTAACAGAAATAAAAAGACACAGAGGGTAAATTAGGAGAAGATATTCAAATCAAACTTTGGTATATTTATTTATTTGGTCATTAATTCTCTCTCTCTCTCTCTCTCTCTCTCTCTCTCGGGTGCGTGAAATGGGTAATTCAATAGCAGTTTAATTTGTTTTGGGTCTAATACTGATAAGAAATCTGAATTTATTTGGTCATTAATTTATCAGATTCATATTAGCTTGAAATGGGTAATTTAATGGCAGTATAATTTTTCGTGTCTCGAATACGGATGAGAAATCTATATTAATTTGGCCATTAATTTCCCATATTATCTTGAAATGGGTAGTCTTACTGATGAGAAATTTATTTATTTGGTCATTAATTTCTCATATTAGCTTGAAATGGGTAGTTTAATGGAAGTTTTAAATTTTATTTTTTATTTTTTATGTGGCTCTAATACTAATGATAAATCTTGCACTACGATATGGTAATTCTATTTGCACACCATACAAGTTCTCATTACACACCACAAATGCGATCGGATATAAATTTTTGAAAAAATATCAAATATTCATATTTAAATTTATGAACATAAAGCAGTTGTTCAGATATAAATAATTGAACGGACTATATATTTGAACAATTTATTTTTGTTCATAACTTTAAATCCGAACATTTAATATTTGTTCAAAAATTTATATCCGAACATATTTGTGGTGTGTTGAGAGTTTGTATGATATGCAAATAGAATTTCCCATGTTATTATCCTAATTAGTATATCATTTTCTGCTAATTAATCCAAATAAGAGCTCACTCGTATCACTCTCTGACTTTAGACCTCTAGTAATATAAATATCAATTTGAGCAATAATGAACAGCAGTGATGAGATGGTCGGTATGGTGACCTTGTGAACCACATTTAGGTATTACCTACTTTTTCATTTGCAAGTAGGACCGTGAACATGAATGAACAGGGCATTTCATATGGTCCCCTATTAACATGGCCAAACAGGTCATGCCTCGTGACCTATACTTATCATACCACCTAAGATATCACATCATCTATGTTGATGATCATGTGAATTGTTATGTTAGATCACAATCATCCCCATGAAATTAACAATTTATAAGTTTTGATTAGAGAAATAGTAAACACATCTTAGCAATGAAATGATGTGATTTTTTTTCAGAAAGACAATGGAGAGAAATGGCAACATCAGCAGGCACCAGAGGTTCTGTCATTTGAGCATTTTCCTGCAGAGAGTTCTCCGGAGGATGCCACGAATGATGAGAGTGATGAGTTGTCTTCGGTGACTGGGGATCGAAATCATGCCATTGCTGTTGCGGTTGCAACTGCTGCTGCTGCAGAAGCTGCAGTTGCAGCTGCCCAAGCAGCAGCTAAAGTTGTTCGACTGGCCGGTTATGGGCGCCACTCTAAGGAAGAAAGGGCTGCAACTCTCATTCAATCATATTACAGGGGATACCTAGTAATACCACCTCTGTCTCTCTATCTCTCTCAAGTCATATCAAACTAAGAGTTTTTTATTTGTTTATTTATTGAAATATTCATTGTATTAATATAATAGCTTTATAGATCTGGCCCCCAATCTTTTGCTTAATTAGAGAACAATAAGTTATATATTGTGGAAATTATCAGAAATTGCTCAATTAGAAGGGCATTTTTGTTACTGTTATTTAGAACTCTAGTTATAATTTATCAACTACTTTATAATTGGTATGTGCCATTGGTTTTTAGGCTCGGCGTGCTCTGCGTGCTTTGAAAGGATTGGTTAGGCTACAAGCACTTGTCAGGGGGCATAATGTGCGCAAGCAAGCACAGATGACAATGCGGTGCATGCAAGCACTTGTTCGTGTGCAGGCTAGAGTAAGAGCACGCAGACTGCAATTAACACACGAGAAACTTCAGAAGAAGGTTGAGGAAGAAGAAAGACTAGCAGCAGAGGAAGAAAAGCAAAAGCCAAGGAGCCCAGTGAAGAAGTTTGAAGACTATTGGGATGGCAGGAATCAAAGCATGGAGAAAACTATGGAAACTGGTATGAGAAAACATGATGGGGTGATGAAAAGAGAGAGAGCTCTAGCTTATGCTTTTAGCTACCAGGTTGGTTTGTAAATTCAAGCCAAACCACCATTTCCATGATGAGTAAAATTGCTTACAAACTTGCCAGTCTACATTATGGACAAAAAGAAAGCTTATGAAGTTTGTAAGATCCATCTAGGATGAGTGCACATTCTAAAAAACATTTTGAAAAATTTATCTTTTGCTGTATGGTTTTTTTTATTTGAAAAAGCATTTTATACATTTAATTTTGCGCAATTGTAACAGCAGCAGCAACAACAACAACAATTGTTGCAATCAGGCTTGAATGGTAACGATTCTGGATTCTATGCCAACGAACATGAAAAGGCACAATGGGGATGGAATTGGCTTGAACATTGGATGGCATCACAACCGTACCATGCCCGAAACTTGGGGCCAAGGGAGAGCTCCTATATGACACTCACCACCACTGATGACAACTCTGAGAAGACTGTTGAAATGGACTTGGTAGCACCATTGGGCTCAGAAAATATCAATATGGGCCGGATGAGTGGGGACCCGATTGAATCGGGTCAGTACCCAAACCGACAGCAGAGGAATTTGGGCTTGGATAGTGTCCCAAGCTATATGGCCCCAACCCAATCTGCAAAAGCCAAGGTGCGCAGTCAGGCCTCAGCGGGGAGGCAACATAACCCACCAGTGGCCCAGTGGAACCCATCAACAAAGAGAGGAACAACTGTTGGGTCCGGTTGTGACTCGTCAAGCTCGGGTGGAGGCATGGCCCATTATCAGGTAGCAAGAAGCCTAAGCCCGAAAAATGATGGGCTGAGAGTTCAAGGTAAGTGGATTGCAGGGTATAGCCCAGATTCTAGTGGGGATGAGAGAGCACTGCATTTGGGTGGTCACGGATTGTGTTGAGTGAACTTTATAATGTGTGATATTGTATATGGCATTTTCCTTGAGTATAGGTGTGATATTGTCACTTCTTTATATGCCATATATACATTGTAATTTATTAATATTTTTATTTGGTAAAACGATGTTGCAAACAACCCATGCAGGGGTTTTGATAATATTTATTGTGGTATGTAATTCTATTTTTTAGAGTATTGCTATTTAGATTTAAAAATTATATTTATTTTTTAGACTTAATGACGTATCACTCTATTAAATTAAGTGGGTGTTTGGGAAGTAGATTTTTATGTAGGTTTTTTTAGTTGTAAGATATTATTGGAAAAATTTTTTTTTGTGTTTGGGAAGATAGTTGGGTTTTTTTGTGATTGGATGTGATGTTTGTGAGAGAAAAAATAAAATGATTATAGGGTTGGATGTAATATTTTATTTAGATGTGTTTTTTTTAGTTTTGCAAAAAGTTTGTCTTTTTGTGAAAAAAATAAAAAAAAAACCCAAGTCTCAAACTTCCTAAACACCACAGTTAAATTTTTCTCTCATTTATTTTCTAATCATCAACCAAGTGGGTCTAGAAAGTAAACTTATATATCATTTTTCCTATCTTCTAATATCTAACCAGTGTGATCTATGATAAGGAGAATGTGAATGAGGTATTTCCATAGTATGATGTTTGAGTTTTATTGATTTGTTGTAGATTTTCATTTTCTCTTTTTTTCTCTCACTTATGGTTAAAAAAATATTTTAAATTATTGCTAGATGCCAAACTTTAAAAAAAAGGCTTAACCTTAATAGTATGGTTAAAAAAGGGGTTAGAGGGTGGGATGGGGGCTATCAAGAAGGAGGGGTTGGAGAGGGTGGCCAGAAGTGAAGGTGGGAGGTTGCTAGAGAAAGAGAGTTGCAAGAGTGAGGGTCCCACAAAAAAATTGATAGAGTTGAGATTATGGTGGGTGGCCAAAAAGGGAATGGCGAAGAGCAATTTTAGAGTGTGGAGGTCTAAAGAAAAGACGTGAGTGCTAGTAGGCAATTTATATATTTATTTATTTTTAAATTAAAAATCCAAATGAAAGCTAAAAAAATAATGTTAAAATATGAAGAATTGTCATTATAATAAAGTCAGTAACTGGTCAAAATTTCTCTTGTGGATTTTTTTTTTATTTAATTAAAATGAAAAAAAAAATCATTCAAAGTGATAGCTGTTAAGAAACATATAGCATTGTAATCAGGCTGTGACACTCCATTTAATTTGATAATGTAGAGAGCGGCAGAAATTAAGAGGTAATTATTCAGTAATGCTGGAGTATAAACACGCGATATTTTATAACATTGTGATTGGTGAAGAATATGAGTAGATGTGATATTGTGTTGGGTGATTAAAGAATATGAAGGACATATTGAATGATAATTGATTAACAAGTACAGAAATGTAATATTCCAGGAATATTGAATAATTTTCCGAAATTAAGTATGGACTTAAGTGTTAAGGATGCCTCTATTAGACGAGCAAGTATGATTAAAGGAGTATAGGCTAAAACTCAAGGGAAGTTGGTCAACCAAAGGGCCGAACCAGTTCTGACCTGCCAAATGCCTGGATAGGCTCCATGCAACAAAAATGGCTAAGGGAAATTGCGGAGGCAGCATTTGCGATAGTCAAGGCACTTGGCCTCAGCACCACCATTCCTAATATTGTCGGCGCTGCCTCTTGGATTGCTGTGGAAAGAGTTGCTGCAGCAATTACAATAACTAACCTGCAGAGGCATCACCTGCTGCAGTCAAGTTATTGAGGCAGCGTCGCAATTTCCAATATTGTCGACGCCGCCATTTGAACTTGCCAAAGGAAAGAGTTGCCGCAGCAACTTCAACTATGACAACTACCTTGCAAACGGAAGACTTCATCAGGGTGATAATAGCCTTTCAAGGAGGCTTCCTCTCCACGAGTAGAGGCTAATACTTGGTGTTGATAGCAGGCCTTAAAGCATTATCAACCTAGGGTTGATAGTAGGCCTCAAAACATTATTAGCTCGGTGCAGATAGCAAGCCCTGAAGCTCTAGCTTGATGCTGATAGCAGGCTCCGAAACCCAATAAATTGGTACTGATAGCAGGCTCCAATACTTACTGGTTAAAACTGATAGCAAGCCTAGAGATACTAGTATACTGCGGTGACCTCGCAAAGATAGAAGCAGGACAACCTGAAAATAAAGGACTCTCTTCCCATTTACCCAGTTCATGAGCCTGCTTTTGTTGCACAGACAAAACCAAGAAAGCCCATTTGTCCTTGGTACGAAGCGCAACCCTTGATGTGGCCCACACCTTAGATAGGTGGGAAGTTTGTGGTTAAGTGGCTAAGAATGGAGGAGTCATTGAGATAAACATAAGCATGGTTGATAGTAGACTATGAAGTCTTAAGAATGCATTTCCTAGCCAAACCGAACTGAGAAAGCAGATACAGCAGCAAGTACTACTGCTGCAAGTGGATTTGTTAAGGTTCAAAATGGAAGTTGCTGAGGTTTGTGCCAAACAGATAATATAGTGGCACATGTTGAGGCACTTGTGCCAAACAGATAGTACATAATACATACATGGGGACGCATGGCTACCTCAGTATGATGGTTCAAGACAAAATATTCCATATGATCTTCAAGGACACATGCCCTCACTTTTATTTGGCCATTTGGTATTCTTTGGTACCAAAGAAAAACCTATAAATATGACCCATTTTCTAAGGCAAAAAAAAAAAAATCTTTAAATTTGAAGGATATGCTGCCTATTTATGCACTATCATTTCCTCCTTCTTAAATCATTTGCTCCACCTTCACTCAACTACTCATTCTCTAACCTCCTAGATTTGTTAATTTAAGGTTCGTTCGGGATGTGGGTTGTTTTTTTTGACTTTTTTACTATTTTAGCATGTGGCTAAAAGTCTTATTTAAAATAAGCTCTTTTTGTTTTTTGACTTTTATAAAAATAAAATAAAAATGAAATGATTATGATTTGGATGTGATGTTTTGTCTTATTGAGCTAAAAAGTCTATTTCATCTTTTTGTGGTTAAAACAACCAAGAAGCCAAAAAGCCTGACATACCAAACGAAGACTAACATAATTTTGCCTCTCCAAATATTCTCATAATTACTGTTCATTTTGAACCCCTATAGATGACAATTATCAAAATACATCCTCGTATGATAATCCAACTAAGCAATTCTATTCCTCTCTAAAATTATTTAAAAAAAAATAAAAAATTAAAAAGACAATTCTATTCGCATGCTATATTAACAAACATAGAAAAATCATAATGTACATGTACAAAATCCAAATAGGAATAAGCTTCAAACCGAAAAAAATAAAATAAAATTTGAATACAAAATACTTTTATTAATTTTAAAACACATTTAATTGATTTAAGGGGGGAAAATCAACCTTCTCACCATTTTGAAATTTACATATTTTTTAATATTAAACTATATATATATACTATGAGCATTTGATGACATTGCCTCTAACTGCCTATATGGTATTTCAACTTAAAAAATAGTGAATGAAAGCAATGACGGAGCCAAGTAAATAAATCAAAAAGGGTATTTATTAATTATAATTTTAATTTTTTTTTTATAATCAATAACAAGAAAATAATAACAATTTTTGAATTAATATTAAGCATAATAACTTAAATAAATTATTACAAAAATATTTCACATAAAATTTTAAAATTAACTTCGAGTAAAATCGAAAAGAAAGTAATTAGTGTAAAACAAATAATGCAAAAAAGTCATATATTTAAGTTTTAAAATAAATTATATAATTATAAGATAAATTAAATTTTTACAAAATTTGAGTAAAAATTTCATATTATGGTAATTTTTATAAAATTTGAGTAAAATTTTCATATAAGGGTGATATCATGTCATCATTGATGTATGATATCACTAACCAATAGTAAAGTAACATGTCAAGGGTGAACCCCACATACAAATGAAACTAACAATCCAGTAACTTTTACATATATATAGGGAAATTAATTATATTTACATATCAATAATGATGGATATTACCTTTATATAGAGATTTTTTCACATAATTTTTATACATAAAAATAATTTGTTATAGTCCCATCATTTTAAATAAAAACAAGCACTATTGTTCTCGTAAATTTAAAAATGTCATTGATATTTTATTTTAAATATTATTTTTATTTAAAATTATATTTATATACATATATAAAATAAAAAGGAAAAATTTAGTCTAACATTCCCTTTCAATTTTTAATAACTAGCATATCACCCGTGCTATGCACGGATTGTGTTTCACCACTTTGTCTTTTTTTTTCTTTTTTTATACTATATTAAAATTTAATATTTTGATACTAATCATATGTGTTGGACTTTTCAACGAATTCATATGTGATGGACTTTTCAAAGAATTTTTTTCATGCTTGTTCTTAATGCATTAAAATGTTATTATGAGGGATAATAATCATGTGTTGGATTTTTCAAGGAATTCATATGTACTTCACAATTATTTCGATATATGTGAATTGTGATTTTTAAATGTCTTTTCTTTTTAAATGTCTTCTTTTTTTTATATTATATTAAAGTGTAATATTTTGATAATAATCATATGTGTTAGACTTTCAAAAAATTCAAATGTGTTAGACTTTTCAAAAAAAATTTTTTTTATAATTGTTCTTAATGTATTAAAGTGTTATTATGAGGGATAATAATCGTATGTGTTGGGACTTTTCAAGGAATTCATATGTGTCGGACTTTTCAAAGAATTTTTTTTATACTTGGGGGTTGAGAGAAGTTAATAAATACTAAGGTTTTTTTTTAAAATAAAAAATTAGGAAATTTAGATTGGGATATTGGAACTCCCACAAGACTTGGGGGGTTAGAAACCCCATTTTTCTTAATATATATATATAGATAGATAGATAGATATAATCTTTTATTTTTATTTTTATTTATTATTTTATTTTTGTGTGGTTTCTATTCGGGTATTTTTTTTCAATTTATTTAAGATGGAGTTGTGGGTATCTTTTTTTTTAATTTAATTTATCTGTAGTTTCCATTTGTTTTTAATTATTATTATTTAGGTAAGTTATGATGTGAGTTAGAATTGTGATAGATATGTGAGTTTTATTGATTTAAAGTTTATTTAGATAAACTTTTAAAGATTTTTTTTTGTTTTATAGTTTTTTTTTGTTATGTTATTAATATAATATATAAAATATAGGTAGATATCTACAACTTTAATAAAAAATATTATCTGATTTTTTGGAAAAGAGAAAGTGGATGCAAGTTTTAATATTTTTTTTGAAAATTTGTGAGAGAGATTAGGAGGGGAAAGATTATGAATATTTTTGTAAATCTCTTCTCTTTT